TGTATTGATGTACTGTATATAGAGATGTACTACAGCAAAAGTATTCTCCGTCAGGACTTCCTGCAACAACACCACGCCGTTATCTTGATTCTGATTGGCTAGAAGACATTATCAAAGATTTTCTATTGAGAAGACGATCACGTGACAAAAGTTTTCAAAACCGTTTCTAGTCTTCGGTATTTCCAGACAAGTGACTACTGAAATCAGTCTTACTAACTGCTGTCTGTGCAATTTACTCCACGTGAGTTGGCGGACTTTATTTTGCTTACTTTAACATCATTTGTCATGGTGGGGCTAAGGTGGGGCTAAGCCATTTCTTGGTATGGGTGTAGCCTACCCCAGCCATACCCTGGTGGGATTTATGTGGCGGGCCATTCTGCACATGCGTTAAATGCGTTAAATATTTTAACGCAATTAATTCAAAAAATGAATTACCGACGTTAACGCGATAATTTTGACAGCATTAATTTTAACATAATTGTACTTACACATTTTCATTTATACGTCTGCTCTACTGCATTTCAGAGGCACACGTGGTTATACTTTTCCCTCCACTACATTTATTAAACCCTCAGTTACTTTTTAATAAATAAAAACATGTAATATGATTGGGTGATAGGATGGAGTACTGTCAATATGATTATATATTGGTTTATTTGTATTTTGAATTGGCTAATAATCTGATTCTATAAAGTAAGTGGTATATGGTAACATACAACGTGTACTTAAGTTCAGAACTTGAGTAAAAATACTTTAATACAATGGACAAATTATCGCAAATTCGTTTTTGCTTCATTACAACACTTTAGCAAACTGGATATATTTTTACATTATTTATCTGTGAGCTGTAGGGATTTTAGAGATAAAAAAGACTAGATTAGAGAGACTCGTCCACAGAGCAGCTTCCTCTAAGACTCAGGCTTGGGTAATAATAAATGTGAACGCATCACTACCATCATCTGCTCTGATAAGAGCCACCGCCAGCTTCACATCCCAGTTAAATGTTTATTTTGGAGCCCCTCCCCCACCCCGCTAATGTGCTGGCAGGCTCGGTTGGCAGTGCTAACTCCTGGGGGGTGAAGTGAGATGCCCGGTCATTATCAGTAATTATACACAGTCTGTGTAGAGAGCCTGGGGGGTTTGAGTGGGGTTAATGTATTCATCATAATGTAGATGCACACCTCCACATTGGCTCTGCTTCGATCAGAGAGACGATGTCTCTGCTCTCCTGCTGTGACAGAGCCAGAGGGGGGGGGGGGGCAGCAGTGAGGGTCTGATGGATGACAGAGACCGTACCTCTTTATACATGGTGTCTAAAAGTATTTACTCTGTTGAGACATTTTTAGAACATGTTAATGATACTTCCTTGAGAGCTGCGTTTGTTTATTCCTTTCTTCTTTGTCAGTATGGGGCTCCACATGTGCAGTCACCAAACAAAACTCCTTGTTTGCTAAGAGTTCAAAGCCTTTTGGCTATTGTTTTATTCAATACTTCAAACAAACCAGAGGTGCATACCCCGATAACCGGACTGAAGTGTGGTATAGGGCTGCACAATTCATCAAAATGTTATCAAATTCGCAATTTTGACTAGTGCAATGTGAAGAGAAGTCCCAACCTACAAACGCTTTTCCACTGACCTCCATCAAAATCCTTGACTGGTTAAGATCCTCTTAAAAAAAAAACACATCATGATCATTTTAATATATTTTTAATGGAAATGGAAATAATCTTTTAAAACAAATCATATGGCAATTGCAATATTTGTCAAAATACTCGACATTTTTCATTTTTTCCAAAACAGTGTGGAACGAAACGCGCTAACGTCACAAGGACTAGTCCGAAAATGAGTATCCTTCCTTTCCTTTCTCACACATTGTGTCTTCTCCCTTCATCTGTAGGTGTTGTGGCTGCTCAGCTTCGATGACAAGAACACTTTAGCAGACGCTGTGGACAAATACTGCATCGGGGTCCCGCCTATCCAGTGGTTGGCATGGATACCGCAGCTCCTGACCTGCCTGGTGGGATCAGAAGGAAAACCTCTGCTCAACTTAATCAGCCAGGTGAGGCTTTCACAAAATCACATAAACAGATCTAGAAAAGGCTCTTGGCCCTGATTTTCAACTCTTTATAAATTAAAACACAGCATTGAAAAGTAATCTCTCCTTTGTTGCTTTTTAATTTAATTTTGTAATCCATTTGGGGCAACACTTGTGTGTGTATTAGTGCCCATGCACGTCTTTCTAATCAAGATAAATGAACTGCATTCACGCCAAAGTAGCCTCTCCCCTGCTTCCTATTTACCAAATGAAGCATTCAGGTTCTCTCACTGTCCCTTTTACAGCCATTCATTGGCTTCCATCAGTCCCCCCGGTGGATTGCTTTTTAAATTATTTGTTCAAGAAATGATTATAAAGTTAATATGGTACACACCCGCACTGCAGGAACAGAGCTGGTAATTAAACGGAAGACTAATTTGCTTTTCTTAATGGAGTATTATTTCCGCACAATTTGAAGAGGGTGATCTTCAAAGTGTAGTGTGCTAAAGCAAACAATCGTGCTCTCAGCAGAGCAGGAATATAGTGGAGAGGATGAGAAAGAAAGAGAGAGAGGTGGGGGGAGGGTTAAGAGAAGAGAGAAGAGGTTTTGAAATACAAGTGAGAGGTGGATGTAGCCCTGCACAACATATAGTAGAGAAACACTGTAGGAGCCAAGGCTTTTTGTTTGTATTCATTATTGGTGATGGGCGTACGCTGGAGCTTGTGGTGGAGTTAGTGGTGTTTTAACTTGGTGTATTCACCTGCTCACTGGTGCTTTTGTATGGATAGACAGAGAGGGTGAGACCCCGCATATATAACGCATTTTCTATCACAATTTCCTGCCATTTTACACATCACATAACAATGTCCATCGCAAGGCAATAATACATCAGATCCACACACTAGAAAATGGAGTTTTCATATACCGTAATTTTCGGACTACAAGGCGCACCTGAATATAAGCCGCAGCAGCTAAATTGAATGATGTGTACATATATAAGCCTAATACGTTTATACGTTGAACAAACAACTCTTACAATTATGTACCCTCCGCAAGGAGTTTGTCGCCGTGAGGAAAGGGCTGTTTAGGGGAGACGACGTGCGTTGGGAACATTCGTATACCCGGAGTTAATCTTGTCACATTTTGTGGACGACCGAATATCAGGTCA